AGATATAAACTGGAATTGCCCAATGCAATGTTTAATTTAGAGAAATTACATGCTTTTTTATATGAAAACTAAATCAACTACATGTACGCATAACTACATGTATGAATGGGAAGTATTTGCATGACGCCCTCTAGAGCTCAACGTAGGAAATTAAGTGTAACATCTCATGAACACTGTGGCACATGTTCTCCTGGAAGTCATCTACGTCTTGAATTATTGTTTTTCGACTTTTAATATGGCATTTAATCACTTTATTGCAAAATCAGCAACACCCCAGTTTAGCTAAAAACCAGCAACCTCATTTTAACATTTGTAGTGAAGTCATATCAATAAATAAAATAAACATAGCTTACAGAAAATCAAATGTCAAATATCATCTTTTTTGAGAATCTGTATTATGCAAATTTGAATCAGTAATGTATTCTTCTACACAATAACATTATTTTTATTTCAGGTGGTGCCGAGTGATGCAAGAGAGAAAATGTTGGTATTTTTCAAATTACAACCAGACGTGATAAACCCTGATAATATGCATACTAATGTATTTGTGTCTTCAATGCTGGACTCGCCTGTAAACGCCTTGTATCACTCTGTGCAAAAAGTAAGGTTACATACATGTATATACATATAATAATGCATTGACACTGTACCATTCTAATGAAATATAAGAATTTTCATGTTTTAAAGATTTGATTCAATTCTTTGTATTGGTATTTCTGTAACTATCGGTACTTGCGTTAAGTGTTAGGGCTTCTTAAGATTCAAAACTTTTGATTGAAATATTATGAGGCCCACCACATTTAACATAAATTTGGGCATCAGCGATAATACAGTTGCCCAGTGATTAGTTTATTGGTGTTTCTTTGACATGTCTTATATTTAATGGTATGCATGAATGACTGGATGTATTTTTACATAAAAATTTCAATAATTGGTTTACACACCAAATTTCAATTGTGATAACTTTTCAATTGCAGATCATAATAATAATGGCCACCTTAACAATCTTGTTGCTCAAGTGAAAAAAGATGTCAGTACATTTTGCATTGGCAAGCGTCCTTATTCAAACAGCTTAAGTTTTCCCAATTATTGAAGTGACCAAGTTATGTGTGTATTTCTAATTCTTATACTAGTCAATAACAATTTACTGCTAAATCATTACATATTTCTGTATACTGTAAAGGAGTTAATTATTCACTGGGTTTTAATTTTGCTTACTAGTATTTTGCTGACTGGAAAATGTGCTAAATTAAAACCCAGTAAATATGTAAAATTTAGCATAGAACACATTATCTAAATGATACTACCATGAATTTAAAACCAATTGAATATGCTGAAATGTTAAATCAGTGAAATTTAAACCCAGTGAAAATTAGTAATTTTACAGTAATTAAGTAACCTTATCAAGGTCAGTGATTGGTCATGGCATTGGGAATGAAAGTTGCTTGGTTAATCACAAAAAACCAGAATACTTTCAAACCCTGGTTTAACATGATAAATAGACACTTAGGGTAGTCCTACAGCCCAGAACAAATGAAATTTGGACAACTGAATATTAACTCACTTGCCTTAACAAACTATTGTGAATAAGCCGTATACATTATGGGTAAGCCAGTTTTAACCTCAAACCCTGTACAAGCACTATATTAAATTGGCAAATATTAATAATTTATTATAATTCATCTAAATTGTTGACACCTTACTTTTATCATTTGTCTTTAAAAAAAATACATACAGATATTTGCACCATTGCTACTTGAAAATGAGAAATGGAGCCGTAATTTTGATCCCAAGTTACAAAGTTTATTGAGCGAATTGGAAGCAGGTCTTGGTAGCGTCATTCGAAAACAAGACCCAGCAATGCGAAGAGGCAAGGCAGATGACAGTTTAGCAGGTATACCACGTAACTGGATGGGTTTTTTTCATAATGTTGACAAAAAATTGTTTTCCGTCATTAGTCATTGACTTTTGAGGTTTTTACCTTTCATGAGATATTTTTTGTAAAAAAATTTGTCTGAAATCATGCAATAAATGTCTTATTGGAATTATTACCATCATAATTTATTTTAAAGAATTATTTCCAAAAAATTGAATAGTAATTGTCAGAATTTTCCAATAATTCTGGAACACCATTATTACATATCTTGTAATTACAGATTATTATTTCACCTATTTTATAAAATTTTGAGTTATAATAAAAGATTTTCACAATAGAAACCAATGGTGAATGGTCCATAAATCACCAGTTGTGAAAAGTGGTTCAGTGACCATACATTTTTATCTGGTTTTTGTGAGCAACAGCATGAATAAAACCATATGGTAAAAGTCAAGGAAATCTTGATCATTGTACCTTAATAGAGTAAAATTGGTCTAAAATTTTTCTTGAAGCTGATACTCACCAAATCTCATTTTTTGTTCAACTTATAAGGTATCTTAACACCGCTGGATGAATTCCAGTACTGGGCAGAAGTATCCCTGTCCAGCTCGAAGTTGGAAGACAAGGAGAGGGCACAACATTTCCAGGAATTATTCCAACCAATATCTGGTGAATACAGCAACCTGGATGCATTGTCACTAGTGGAAGGTTTGGATTTAGTGGAGAGTACACAGGATTGTTTGGATGACATATGGAAACAGACAGAATTTGAACAATATCCTGAAGCTAGGATGAAGCACTTACTGGAAGTCTTTGGTAAGTACCCGGTAGGCCAGTTTGCAGTAATCTTGTGTAATTTCATATAAATAACATCAAATTGGCATTAAAAGACTACTCAAACTTTCTGTAGGATTTGAGTGTAATATGTTGTTTTGTCACAGGTCAATTAATCTACATATAATTCTTGATGCCAAACCTGTTTGATTTTTATAATATATAAAAAATGGTGGTAGGTACCCTCAGTAATCTTAGTCCTTGGTAATTATTCAATTTTTCAACTTTTCAAACAAAGTATCTATTCTCACTGATATGCTTCAGCCCTCTCATTTCGCTTTCAACATACATGTAGCATTGTACATTCAAAAATGTGACCCAATGATAAGACTACTCAATGTATCTACTTATTTGCACCACATACAAATTACGAGCAAATTACACCATGTATACTACATGTGCCTTTAACCTTTTCACCACCAGTTTCCTCTTTTCATCACAAATTCACAAAATAGTCCTGTTTTAATCTGCACTTTCCTTCAGAAGATTGGGACAAAATTAGCCAATTTAAAAACCTGAAAATTACCTCAAATTTTCTCTGCTTTCTCCAAAATTAGGGTTCATTTTCAAAATCATGAAAGAATATAAAAAAAAAAGTGCAGGAAAATTTGGGCAAGAAAATCTGGTGTTGAAAAGGTTGACTTTAAAAACATTGAAATGATTAAATGTATATAAATTTGTACCTGTTATTGCAATCAGGTGGATCACTGGGTAGATTTGTGCAGCGAAGACTCAGCACATTTGATATATGGCGTGATCCATTTCACAAAGTGAAAGAGGCACTCAGATATGGGATATCTATCTGTGAACGTTGGGTGATGGCATGCGACACATTGACTGTTCAGTACTGGAAACGATATCCTGCACATCAATGGAAAGGAGAGAAGTACAATCCAGAAGGTGTCATCAACTTAGGTGCAAGATTAGAAGAGGTTTGTAATAATATAGTGATTGACTTTCAATGTCAAGGCTACATTACTGGTAGAAAGTAGTCTATGTACCACGTGAATCAAGGGTAAATTAAGTGTATTCTCGGGGGCTGAGCCACGTCATTGTGCGTTCTCTATTGCTAAGATGCTCACCACTGTACCATATAATTCTATTTTATTACACTGTTCAGGAGTCTCAATAACTATTCCCAAGTACATTTTTTTGAGAGTTTTCAACTGTTGTTTTCGTCGGTCGTGGTTGAAAGGCAGTGAAAATATGCCCAGATGTCCGCTCGCAAGAATAGTTTTGACCTTCACATTGACTGTGCAGTACATGTTTATGTAGACTTGAGCTTGAGCTCCTTTCTAGTTTAGGTGACAATAAAAATATTTATATAATGCTTTGACTATGGAATCATGTTAATGTACATTCAGTTTTCATAAACTTACCCTTACTCTCTGTGTGTAGGTTTCCACACTGAGAACTGTCCATGAACAGCTAGTAAGATTACTGTCTAACAGTGAGCAACAAGAGCTACGTACAGCTGATGCATTTGCACCCTTTGCTGGGTTGAACCCCTTACAGTATAATCCATATACCCAACCACTATGGAAGGCTGCAGTGGCACAGTATGAACGAGGTAAGTCTTTGTCTGTATTATCTTTACAGATTGGGGCATCATCAGTGCATACATGTGTTGGTATAGCAGTGTGGCTAGTCTGCAACTTTTAAAATTTATACAAAAATTGTAGAAATATCAATCTAAGATTGATTTAAAGGTATTATTCATCAAATAATCTTTATCACCCGTTTTGAGAAGGATTTCTCCCATTTCATCTCATAACTCTGAAGCAATCCTGTATAGTTTTTTAGAAAGGAGCACAGTTTTCGAGTAACTGCAAATTCAGGAATTTGTTCAAAATTTTAGATGTTTACTTACTAAAAACCAACTCTGAGTTTTTTTATTAGTCTGTGTTGATCAGTGTCTACTTACTACCGGTATTTTAGACATAGAAAAAAAAATACAGATGTTGCAGTTGTCTTGCCTATTTACCTTGTGTTTATTGGTCATTAATATACTTATCTGTGTGTGGTAATTTCTAGCAATGGTCCCAGCTGAACAGAGAATTGCTGGTAAACTCAGAACCCAGTTCCGGGAATTGGAGGCCAATTCTCACCAATTATTAAGAGAATTTCAACGATACAAGGAATTAGTGAAAAGACCAAATATAAGCAAAGAACTTGTAGCTGAAAGGTGAGTAATTGCTATTACCATGGTCTTCTGTAGAATTAATTTCATGCAACATGAAGCTTGGTAATGTTATATAAAATCAGAATTGGTTCTTAAGCTTTTAGAAAAAAAATTGTTTGTTTTTGTTATCTTCAGTATGGTAAATGAAAAAATAATTCAACTCTGTGAAAATAGTTGTCATTAATAAGGTGCACTCATTTTTAATCCAAGATCAATATTCATATACTATAAAATGACTAATTTTCACTGGGTTAAAATTTCGCTGATTTACCATTTCGGGCATATTCAGTGGGTTTTAAACTCACGGTTTTATCATTTAGATAATGTGTTCTATGCTCAATTTTACATATTCACTGGGTTTTAATTTAGCGCATTTTGCAGTCAGCGAAATAAGCAAAATTAAAACCCAGTGAATAATTACAGTAATTACCTTTTTATTTGTTATTTGAACACCTTTGACTTTTGTGCCCAGGTCATTTTAGATTTGACACATGCCATCAACAAAAATTTTAATGAGTGCAATCAACAACAAACTGTAAATTTTGGAGCAAATCCATTATTATTTACATTTCAGTGGAATAAAACAGACGCATGTTTTTTGAGTAATTATATGTAAAAAATACATCTCTTATTTTTATTACAGAGAGACATTGCTTGGACAACTACAAGTATACATTAAGACTATCAGAGATGATTTTGTCACCAGGACTAATGATGGTACTTCACCAGCAGGTAAAAACTTACCTGAAGTGGTTAACAATATTGTGTGGGTCAGACAGTTGGAAGCTAAGGTAATTTTGAATTTTAAAATTTATTAACACTTTATTTATTACAATAATTTATATCACTGTGTGTGAATAGACCATGCTGATTTTTGTATCACATGATATTTTTCTGATTATTAGTATTGTAAAATACTGTAAAACGTGTCTTTTGCGCGAGCATGTCTTTTTCGTGAATTTAGCGAGAGAACTGATTCGCTAATTCAAGATGTCGCTAATGACTTTATTATCAATTCAAAATGGCCGCCAAACAAAGAAATCAACAATGACAAGAGAGATTTGCTAAATCAACATTTCGCTATTACTATGTACGTCATTTTACCACAATTCGCTAAAATTGTCTGCCGCTTTTTCAACATGTTTTACAGTAGTGTATTGTTCACCCCAAGTCATAATTTGTCTAAATCTTCTAAATATCCACAATACGACATTACAGGTAAAATTTCAGACTTTAATTATTTTGCAGTCATTCAGTGCAAATTCTTGTTTTTAACATCCACTGACAGTATGCATTAAGAGCCAACTTTGTAAAAAAAATCTTATGTGCATTATAAAACCCATATATTTTGTATTGATTTTACCTGCATTCTTTGCTAGGTCGAGGACACATCCAAAACAGCTGAAGCCTTGCTGGGTGATTTGTCAGGCTTCAGTAAGTTCCGTCGAGATGCTGCCAGCTTATTGGATGAATTACAGCAATGGAGACAAGATCAGTTTGAAAATTGGTCACAAGATATGCTAGATGCAATAAATGATCCTTACAAGCCTCTCAGGTACTAGTGCCATCCTTTGTCAATTGTAAACAAATCTTTGGTCTTTAATACCACATACACATGTGTCAGTATTGCCATTAACCGTTTCACCACCAGACTTCCTCTCCAAATTTTTCAGCACTTTTTTTTAATATACTTCAATATTTCTGGAAATGACACCTAATTTTGGAGCCAACAGACAAAATTTGAGTTCATTTTCAGTCTTTCCTCAAAACAATTTGGCTACTTTTGTAAACTATAAACAGGACTATTTTGTCAATTTGTGATAAAAAGAGGGAACTGGTAGTGAAAAGGTAAGTTTGTCATCGCGAATTAGAATTTCATGCAAACATGTATTTTATCCTAGCCCTTTAGGGTTTATAATTTTATTACATGCGTTATATTTGTTGCATAGGACCATCTATCGACTGTGACGACAACATTCACAGTACCACCTCCTACTAATAGACATAGTCCAGCATTTGAAACATACATACAATGTACATGTCAAATACATTGTTTGTTTATATGGGTGATATAACGTTCTATCACAACATGGCTTCTGTGTCTAAAGAATTACGGTTCATACTCAGTTTGCAATGATGCCAACCTATCCAATTCAGTTTTACTTTACTCTGATAATTTGTAAAATACAATGTATAGAAGTAATTTCAATGAATTGTAATTACCATATATTCAGCATTTGCTCTATTAGAGGTGCAACTTCAGTAGAAGTGCATATAGACCAAAAATTTGCATTTGTTGTATGCTGGATCATTGAATGTATTGCTTGTTTTGCCCACAGACACACCTTTTTATTAATGTACGTAAGTACATGTGCTATTATTTAATAGAGAAAATACAATCAAATGGAAATCTCTCTAGTCCTCATAATGGGGGTGTATTGTTTCTAATACTGTGGAATACTTTATTTTCACTGGAATTAATTTTCGCTGAAAAGGCATTTTGGGCGTTTTGTATGGAATTTATTTTCACTGATTTTTGATGAGTTTAATGCGAAATATAGGAAAAAAAGTATATTCGCTGGATTTTATTTTCACGGAATCATCCCTCCAGCGAAAATAGCGAAAAGAAATTCCAAGCAAAAATAAAGTATTCTACAGTACTTATGCCAATATGAGTTTATGTTAACATGTCAACGTATTGTGTACTGTAAAATGACTAATTTTCGCTGGGTTTAAATTTCACTGATTTACCATTTCAGGCATATTCAGTGGGTTTTAAATTCACGGTTTCGTCATTTAGATAATGTGTTCTATGCTACATTTTACATATTCACTGGGTTTTAATTTAGCGCATTTTCCAGTCAGTGAAATAAGCTAAATTAAAACCCAGTGAATAATTACCCCCTTTACAGTATTTGAAAATAATGGTGGCTCTACAAACAAGCATGCCTAGTTCCAGTATTCGAACTCCTTGCTTAATTTGTTGATTTCCTATTCCCAGTCTTCAGACAAGTGGAAAGCTGATGGAATTAGACCACAAGGATGGAAAGTTAAAAGTACACTACAGTGAGAGACTAGTGACGTTACTGAGAGAAGTCCGACAACTGCAAGCTATGGGATTCCCAGTACCAGCTAAGATCCAACACACAGCGGCTACTGCTCAGAAGTTCTACAGACATGGTGTAATCCTAAAACAGGTAAATACCAAAAACTCTAATCTGTTTTATCCTATATACATGCTCTTGGAATTATTCATTGCCGATGTTCATGTCAAGTAACTAACAATACCAATAACTGATTCATTAGACATAAGTGGAATTTCCGTTCACTGCGAGATCTTCCATATTGTGCTGAATGAACGTCTGCCGCTGAAATCCAATGATTTGTTTTTGAATTTCTTTTTTCATAGTTCAAAGTTGAAATATCGATTTCACAGTAAAAAACATGGTGTTTAGAGACCCTCCTTACTTTATCAAAATTTGCCGTCAAATGTCTATAGCCCATTATTAAGTGTGAAAATATCATAAAAACTACTGTCACGTTTGTCACACATTGTTTTGACACCACCACATCGCTATGACATTTATTTGTTTTATTTGTACATTCAATGTAATGCATAACATGAGATATCAAAAAGAAAGTAAAATCTAATGGCTGTCTATAAATTGTCTATAAAATCAGCACAATGTATATTTGTGCTGTGAATGACTTTGGTATCCACATATTTTTATTTTTCATCTCAAAATAATCTCTCTCTTTAGGTTGCCCATTTCTACAACACCATTGATCAACAAATGATACCAAGCCAACAAGCCATGATGTTGGATTCTGCTCTGGCATTTGAAAAAATCATTAAAAATCCCAAACCTGGTGCCAAAGCCAGTGATGGTAAAGTACAGATTACCTGGGACAATCCTGAGGAACTGGAAGCCTACATCTCTAAGCTACAAGCAGCTGCTGACAGATTGACTTCAGAAAACAGAAGGTTACGCAAGTGTCACAACATTGTCTGTGATAAGGTAAGTTTCTACGTTCACTATATCAACCAAGAGATTTATATTGTTCAATCATTGTCATTTATTATTGATATTTGGTAATCTACTATTGAATAAAATGTTGCTTGGCACTAATCGGTAGTGTCCTATACATATGCAACGTGATATACCACAATGCTAGTCTGAAAACATTGAATTGGTCCTGTCATCACATGTGCTGGGTCAATAAAGCCTAAATGCACGTCAAGCATTTCAGTATTCCTGGAAAGCAATGGCAGAAAATACACAGGACAACTTTTAGAATGTAAATCATTTCTGAATGATTTGAGCAGGCTTTGTTTTTCTATTCTTATCAAGATGTATGATTACCGGATGTAGTTTTTTTTAACCTAATTACTTGTGTCACATTGTTGTATTCCCCAAAATCTGATAATTTCTGTTGTCTGTTTCAATGTGTCTTGCAGGTAGTGACAATGATGGGTATTGATCTACTCAGACAACAAGGCAAATGGAAAGAAGGATTAATGGAAATCAGACAACTGATGGCCAACTTAGTTCAGCAGGTAATGAATAAGAGATCATTTTTGGATTGTGAATATTATTTTCACAAACTTGAAATTGTTCTCGCTTGTTTTATGTTCACCTATTTACTCTTCAGTATGCAAATGTTGTATGTTCAATAGTACATAAACGATTTCCTTAAACTGAAAGTATATTGGGGACATGCCTTCTCACACACTGCTCCTCAACTTTGAAACTCCCTTCTGTCAGACATATCTCACAGAGACTGAAGATATGGATATTCAAGACAGCCTACAGTGTGGATTAACTCAGTGCCTTGAACAGAACTTAGTTTTGAATATCGTCACTTCATTCAAGTGTTTATGAAGGATTATTTGATTGGTCTCAAATTATTAAAAGCTTGAAAAGTGTAATTTCTTCATATTCAACGAAAAGGTTCACTTTTGCATTAACATATTGCATAACAATAACAACTGTCACAAATACAAAAAAATGCATGCAGTTGAACTGTGATATACATCTTGAACATGCCTTGACTAATTTTTTTCAAAGATGGCACAAATACAGGTTATAATGGTATAATATGTACATTGATATATTTTTCATTTATGTAGCAGTTTTAAATCTAGCTAAATGTTTAGTTATGATTGTTAGTGCTGCATTATTATTAATTTCTCTGATCATTACTGTTTTTGCCACTTATTAAGGGTTTCCGTCCAGAGAACATGAAGCCATGGAAAGCTCACTGGGACAGACAATTGTACAAAGCTTTAGAGCACCAATATCAGATGGGATTAGAAGCATTGAATGAAAATTTACCTGAAATTAAAGTTGAACTTACTTATAGGTATGGCTGAGTTCTCTTGGTTCCATTCAAACTCAAATTCAAACTCAAACTGTTTGATTTGTCCTCAATCATATCTGACACATCTAAAGAGCTGTACATGCAGAATATAAAATCTAGCATGGTTTGAACTTCGGGGGTTGAGAGAGCTCAAATTTTCATGCCAAAATTTTAAACATTGCCTCAGCATATTTGAATAATATATAGAATATTGAAGAGTACCCAAGCAAACTGATTAGACTATGGCATTTCCATCAATGCCTTCATGAAATTAAAGCCTTAGATAAGGTGCAATGTGATTGGTGGACTGAGGAGAGCTTTATGAATATGATTTCTGTATATAATGTCAGATATAAGGTGGCTATGAAAAATAAGAGTGTCTATTGATGATCACATTTGCTTACTTTTTGCACACCTGCATGAGCACAAAGACTTGTTCACAAGAACTGATCATTCTCATCCAAAAATAAAATAATGTGTTGTTCACTGTCACAACACATTGTGAGATATTCACTGGGTGGCAGAAATGTAAACAAATAACATCACGATGCATATCAATATTTGAATTATATTGTAAGAAGTTGACTGATGATGCATACATGATCACTTACTCATTTTCAGACAACATCGTCTACAATTCCGTCCACCTCTTGAAGAAATCAGGGCCAAGTACTTCAGAGAAATGAAGAAATTCATCTGCATTCCAAATCATTTCAAAGGTGTGGGTGATGGCGGAGAAAACCTCATCTTTTCCATCATGATTGAGAGAAACGCAGCAGGGTTCACCACTGTATACCATAAAGCTGAGGACCTCTTCAGGCGACTATCCGCTGTAAAAGACAAATTCAAGGTAAGTTAACTCAGTGTATACATATTTTTTGATTCATATTCAAGTTAAGGCAATAATTTTTGCATGGGTATTGTCATGGTTGATCAAAAACCTGAATGAATAGACAAGTTTTGGGTTCAGTGGTTGCTACTCTACTTTGTGCACACAGCTCTCGATTAATAGGAAGAGGTGACTGATTTCACATCATTTGTCATTTGTATAAAACTGTTTGCTGCTGATTCTCTCAAATTTAATAAATATTCTTGACTGTCTCCCCTTAAGAAATGTTCCAGGAATGTATATATAAATACCAGGCATTGAACTCCACGATTTGGTTCCCTTTGAAAAATACAGCTTTACCCCCCCCCCCCCCCCATACTAATTCTATACACTAAGGCTATTTCATCAAATTGCACCTGGAAAAAGTTCAGGACCTGGGATACAAAGATGTCATAAATTAGAGGTTTTGTTTTCATCAGTGTCTACAAGCATTTCCTATAATTTTAAAGCCAATCTAGATGACATTCAGTACTGAACTGATGTTGGTATAGAAAAATCTTTACATAAAACTACATATTTATGTTTTGCAGCCTTGATTTGCTTATAAGATTGACTGAATCATTGGCATATTAGCATAGCAAATAGAGAACTCAAAACTTGTCTATTTGTTTAGTAGTAGCATTTTTTCAAAGTGCATGTACATATGTTAATAATCCATGTAAATTGTGTTATTTCAGGACTGGGTAGTGCTTGGTGCCTTAGACTTAGACCAAGTAATTGATGAACATTTACATACTGTACCAGACTGGGAAAGAAATTTCAAATCCTTGAAGGCGAGAGGTAGAGATGCCGAAAAATTACCGAGGTATGTCTGTGATGCTGTGATTACAAAGTCGATGTATGATGTTAGTGAGATTAAAGAACCTCATTCTTCATCAGAGTTTCCATCAAACCCTTATTCCAATTACTGAGTGCAAGGATCTTGCTTAATTTAGAACAGAGCAGCACCTATTGAGTCTACCCTGAAATTATTAATTTAAGTTAATCTTGTATGCATATCAGCCTTACCTTATTGTGATCACACACAAAAGGGTACAACAGTTTGTACAGGCTAAAACTCAAACATGTTAAGAATACACAAATCTTCTTTTAACTGTTCTATGGTCAAAAACACTAACAATGTAATTTCAGATTCAGAATAACAGGAAATATAACATCTCATCATCAGTGCAATTTGTGTTGTTTTGATAATGTCTCTTGATGTTCTAGCATTGATTGTCTTGTCAGAAATGGCATACTGAAATGAATATTTATTGGTATAATAATCATTATAATAATAATTAATAGTAAATCTTTCTAGTGGACATAAAATACAATAGTGGTTTGGGCACACAATGTTGTTTTGTACATGCACACTTCAAGTGCTAAGTATTTGTGCACATTTTCTTAGCATTTTGACCTCTTAGCATGTGCATAAAAGTGTGCATGAACACAACTCAGCAGTTACTGAAATTTTGTCTTTGCTTACAGTGTTATAAAGGTTGACTGCATCACAGTGTCCACCAGTCCAGTAAGAGCCACAATTGATGACCACGTTCAGAAGCTGTTTGATTCATTGTTGAGTTCGTTGAGGCGTGCTATCAGCAACCATACTACAGAAATCGAGAAGTTCCTTGATGATGCGATGGAGGCTCTGTCTACTAGACCACAGACGGTTGAAGAGATTGGTGTGGCAAATGCTAAACATGGTGAGCTGTCTGCTAAAAAACCAGAGGTACGTTATTATGGCAATCAAAAAACATTTCCCAGTTTTGGCAACTATTATACATATGTGTGGTGGCTTGTTAACTGTAAAATGACTAATTTTAACTGGATTTAAATTTCACTGATTTACCTTCAGGCATATTCAGTAGGTTTTAAATTCACGGTTTCATCGTTTAGATAACGTGTTCTATGCTAAATTTTACATATTCACTGGGTTTTAATTTAGCGCATTTTCCAGTCAGCGAATTAAGCAAAATTAAAACCCAGTGAATAAATAATCCTTTTACAGTATATGATTATTCATTTAAGGTAGCGAGACTATTATTTGTGTTGAAAATTACGATTTTCACATTTATTCATTAATTGATGAAATGCACTATAAACTTTCATATGATAAAGTCAACATAACATAGAATGTCATG